GACAGAGAGATGCAGACGCAGACACAGATAGCACTGTGTACTTCTCCAGCCCTGTGTGAGGGAGGCATCGAGAACCTGCAGCTTTTTCACCACACACAAACTTGCAAGTAAATTTAAAAACTTATATAAGCATCCACAACTCCACTCTTTCTTCTTGTTCAGCCCCAATCAGACCCTTCCCGCACTCCATTCTGTATGAGCCTGTCACAGCTCCTCTGAGCCTCCATAGCTCCTGTCCACCAAGAGGAAAACAGCCTGTCTACCTACCTCACCTCCTTGCAGGAACGCAAGGATCCTAACAGCCGACCCTTATATAGTGCTTACTATTGTAAGCACTGCACATACATTAACTCGTTCGATCTCCCAAACCACTCCAGGAGACCGCTGTTATTATTTGACAAAAGGGGCAACCAAGGCACCTGGAGCACTCTCAGAACTTGCAGCACCGCCCAGCAGGAGAGGGGTTTGAGCTCTAGCTCTGCTCTGCTGCCCAGCTATGCAGTACTGTGCTGTGCTGTGCCTCTGGGCTGCAGAGAGGGGTGGTGGCTTGTCCTTGGTGGGTCTCTGCTCCCTGGGGAGGCTGCACAGTGGGGCTGGACAAGGGGGCGACCCCAGCCAGAGGTGCCAGCCTTCCTAGAGGGGGAGGAAGCCGTGCCCACCCCCACCCGCTGCAGGGCACCTCATGTTTTTTTCTGTGCTGCCAAGAGTGGGTTTGTCTGTCTCCTGGAGACAGCGGTTGTCAGGCCCTGGGAGAACAGCGAGCTTGTCAAAAATAGCAGCGCCAGCAGCAGACTGTGTGGCTGCAATTTCCCTTTGAAATGTCAGTTCTGCGCTCACCAAGGAGCCAGGGTTGGTTGGTCTATCTGTCTGTCTCTCTACTCCCTGAAGCCTACAGCAGAGGCTGCTGAAGGGTGCAGAATGTTTCTAGAGCAGGTAAAGTGTTTCTGCCAGGGCCTGCAATTCTAGGGGATCCTACCGATAGAACAACGAGGTCAGAGTTGTACTAAAAAGAAAGCGTCAGAAACTCCAGTGGGACTGGGACCAAACAGCTCCAGCAAGAGCCTCAGTTAGGCCAGTGCTGCTCATGACTGCCGTGCAGGCCAGCTTTCTCTTGTTCTGGGGATGAGAGTGTCCCCGTCCTAGGGGCTAACTGCTCAGAAGTGTCACAGACAGGTCTCTACGCCCCTCTCGGTTACCCAGAAAAGCAGAGTGTGAGGCAAGAAGGGACGGAGAGGCAGGGTAAGCCACTTCCTCAAGGTACAGCAAGGGAGGTGACAAGACCATGAGCAGGAAACTGTACCATGCACCCGCTGTCCTTGTCCCCAGGACTGTGTCCTCTCCTCCAAATCCTCATGCTCCAGACCTTATTCTGCCAAGAGATATCTGTGCAGCCCAGTCTAAAGGGAGAGGCAGGGAGGAAACCTACAGCTTTTCCTCCCCAAGTGACTGTGACATCCTACAACAAGACCACACTTTCCTTCCCACGGCAATAACGCGGTCAAAACCAATCACAGCCAAGATGGCGCTTCCAGCTGGGCTGCTGGGGGGCAGAACACCCTGGGAAACTATCTCGGCATTTCCACAGAGATGCGGGGCAACAGAAATACCAGCAAAGCAAGGGCTCGGCCACGGAAGAGGGACCAAGAGAGGCGGGATTGGGAGCTGCCCCCAGGGTAGCGCCCAGGGAGAGAAGGGTGCTGTGGGCACTGGGGGCGGGAGCAGGAGCAAGGCCTGCTGGACACGGGGAAAGGGCGAAGTGAAAGGTGAATGCAGGTGCCAGCTTCTCCTCTGACTTCTCCAAGCACTCAGGACGGAGGGCTCTCATCACAGGGACGGGTGCAGGGAGAGGGCTGGTCCTGTGCCACTCCCGAGGAATGCCAAGCTCACCAGGCGGACGCTGGGTAGGCTTTGGCTTGTGGGAGGGTATTTATCTACGTGGCCAACAAAGTGTGGCCAACTCCCTGAGTATCAGTACGGTTCCTGCTGACCACGCTCCTCATTTACCAGAAAAATCCCCAGCACATCTTTAGAGAAATGAAAAGCATGAAAACCCCACCATAGTTTGACCATCAAAATTCACACACACGCGCACACACAAGTCTGTTCTCAGTATTCCACAAAAACAGCAAGACCCAATAGCAGCGCTGTCCTCCTGGGCAGAAGAAATAAACTGCTGTCCCATCAGACACGGCCTGGTCCACCTGCCAAGGTGTGGACCCTAACCTGCAAATCCTCCAGCCATGGAGGTGAGAGTTCACCGCCATTTACACCCCACGCAGTGCTTTTTCTGGTTACAGTTTAGATCTATGACTATCAAAATAATCCCCTCTGAGAACATGTCTTTCACCCCTAAAACTCTTGAGTGCTAATTCAACAGCCCTGCTGAAGGCCCTGGGGAGCAGCAAGGGCCACCAAGGTCCTGGTGCAGGGGAGCTGTGACCTGTGCTCTGCAGCCTCCCACAAGGAGGGTCACAAGCGCTGAATCTTCTCCTGCCGCTCAGGGGGTGTCCCCGGCACCCCACACCCTGGGAACGGTGACCCTTCCTTGTGTTCTCCTTCCAAGCGCCAGGGAGCCAGAGCCGGCCGGAGGCTGCCCAGACCTGCAAGGGCCAAGGCAGCAAAGCCAGCTCCAAGCCCAGGCTGCTCCAGGCTGACTGCCTCACGTCTTCCTCCGAAACCATCTGTTTCACTGCGGCTCCTTTGTCTCTGTCCTCTCTGCAAAGCTCTCAGTTCGGGGGACTCTGAGGTAAACTTAAACACTGCGTATCTGGTGCTCATCAGTAAAGGATCCACGGGAGTCGGGAAAGGAGTCCTCAGCTGGGGGCTCAGCAGAATCAGTGCCCTGGAGCCACAGGTGCTGCCACCCGTCCCCAAGAAGGCGGAGAAGCGGGGTTACAGACACAGGGGAGAGGGAGACCAGACGTGAGGAAACCAGGGAAGGAAAATAAAGAGAGGCAAAGAAAGAATGAAAAGAAGACAGAAAGGGAAGACGCAGAGAAAGTGAAATAATAAAGGGGTGCAGCTGTGAGTGAACAGAGAAACAGGTGACAGGCGCAGGGACACAGACACAGAGCAAGGCGGCCACTCCGAGGCCAGCGGCAGCCCCTTCCCCGTGCATGCTCTCCCACCTCCACTCCCTGCCACCCCCGGTTCTAGCCTCCCCGAAGGTGGACCTACCTCAGGTGCGAAAGTGGCCAGCGGTCCCTCACTGCTCCTTGGGGACGCCAGGCAGGAGGAGCATCCAGCCGTGGTGGGCAGACTCAGGAAGTCCTCGGGGAGCCCGAGCCAGGCTGAGGACAGCGTGGACTGCACCCTTCCTGGCGTGTGAATGCCCATGCCCCCATCACGGCAACAAGCAGGGCACAGGCTCCGGATGTTCGGGGCGCAGCCACACGGGGACGCCCAGCCACAGGGTCCCCAGACGAAGTCTTCCCCAGAACCCAGGTGGAGCCCCACTTCCCTTTGCTTCCGAGGTTTAAGAAGCTCTGCCTATGAGCTTTCCTCTGGAGCCAGACTGCTCCCTGGGAGGAGGGAGTTTCACTTTCCCTGCCTCTCTGAGAGCCGGGAAGAGCCCCTCGCTGAGGAGATGAGAACTCCAAGATGCCTACGACTAGCATTATTCTTGGCGAAGCCCGGGGTGGCTGCTGCATGAGGAATAAGAAGTTGTCCCCTTGTTTTAAAATCACAATATTGACATTGGTTCAACTGGGAGCTGCTTAGTATTCATGTTTCTCAACACGCAGTGGTTAAATCAGGCAGCTCAAGGCCTGGATGAGGAAACCAGGAAGAAAGGTCTGGAGGAGAAGTGTTGGGGACCAGCCTTCTCACAGCTCTGAGGGTCCTGCGCCCCAGGCTGGGCTGTGCCAGCCCTCAGCAATAGATGGGCAGTGCTCTCATTCAAGAAGCCAGGAATATGTAGTGTGTTTTCCCTTGATACTCGAATCAGAAGATAGAGAGAACAGTCTGGAAGGTTGCTACAGCAACCGGAGTCCCTGGAGAGCCTGGCTTTCCGCATCCTTTTACTCTCAGGCGTGCTCTGACTTGGAAAGGCCATGTTTGCTTAGGGATGGAGATGAAGGTGATCACACAAATGGAGAGACACAGGCAACCACGTCCCCAAATCCACCCTCAGTGGGGAGCATCTCTGACCACCACAGCAGGCCCTTCTCCTTCTCCAGAGAGTGAGGAGTAACTGAGGCAATCTGGGGAAAGAGCGTTTCCTGGCCTCTGTGCCCCACCGTGTTTCAGGTCTGGAGAAGCCAGCTCGCTCAAGGAACCTCCACCCCAGAAGGGCCCCACTGTGCCTGTCTAATCAGCACCCTCCATTCTGAGGTGCAAGAAAAAAAAGATATTGGCCCAGCCCCAGAGAACAAGGGCGGTTAGGAAGCTGATGGCCTATTTCTTGGGCTCTGGCTCCAAGGCAGAAACTTTAGAGGAAAACCTTGCCTCTGGAAGATAGGGAGACAGGGTAATAAACTAAAAACCAAATTCATTGCTATAATTCACATATTTGCATAGTGTCTTCCCCGGCTTCCTGGATGAGTTCATTGACATCGCCCATGAGGTAGGGAGGGAAAGACATTGATGTTCCCATTTAATAGACAGGGAAACTGAGGCACAAAGAGGGACCATCTCACCAAAGTTACCCTGTAAAGCTGTGGCAAAATCTAGATTCGGATCTGGCACTCACAGAAGCCCCTCAAGAGGACCTTCAAAAGGCTGTCCCTCGTAAATTACTCTTCGAGAAAATAATGAAAAAATTCTCATTGAAGAGTCTTAAAGCACAGACAGAAAATTCTAAATGTGTTAACAGTCCTTTCAGATTTGGAACTGCACCCGGGGGAGGGGGAGATCGGAATGGTACAGCACAGCAAACCAACGAGTGGGGAAGTTGCTGGGAGAGAAGTGGGGCATGGGCAGGTGGGACGGTGGAAGGGGTTCAGGATGGAAGAAGGTGCCCCACCATTACCTTGCAGGCAAAGCAGGCCAGAGAATGTCTGCCCAAGTGGCAGGAGCCTCTCACAGGCCGTCGGCAGGGCAGTCCTGCTCCAGTCTAACCCCTTCCACATACAGTCTGCAGGGTGGGAAGAAGCCGGGGTTGGAGGGCGAGATGTGCTTTGGACTTGGCAGACTTCGGGTGGGCTGCTTCAGAAAGACTTCAGCTGCAACCCCAAGTCGGACTCCCCAGAAACAGGGTGGGGGCTCCAAGGCAGTGGGGAGACACAGAGGAAACCTGTTTGCCTGCAGGCAGATCTGCTGCCCCTCACAATGACATCAACCCGGCTCCGTGACACCTGTCTGCCAGCTGTGGTCCAGCCAGTTGCCTGACCCCACACATCTGCTCCTCTGGGATCTGTGGCTCCTGTTTCCAATCACTCTGCATGGGAAGGAACAAGCCCAAGAGTAACTGGCTCTGAGAAGGAGGCTTCCTGGAAGCTCAAAAGACAGTCAGGGATGGGTGCAGGGAAGACTGTCTCAGCCAAAGCAGCTTCTGCCGATGCTGGTCCACACCTGCAAAAGCCCAGTGGCTTCTGGCCCACACTAACTCTCACATCCTCCAAGGGTCCTGCTGAAGTCTGTTTTTCTGCAGTTCCAGCCAAGACTAATACACACTGAGGCTGTGCAATGAAATGCTCCATCAAGCATCTTCTGCGGGATGATCAGCAGATGTCACAGGACACTAGGATAAAGGTGAGTACCATCTCCATCCTCCCGCTTCTGCCAGGGACCCCGGTCTCTCACCAGAAGGTGAGACAGGTGCATGCCTCAGAGCAAAGCATGCTTAGGAGAGACAGTGTGGCTGGCTTCCATCCTACTGACATGGCTCTTCCTAGAGATGCTACCAATCCTCGCAAAGAGAAATAAGTCTCGAGGGGGCGGCAGACACAGTGCACCTCTCGTCCGGGTGACCAAAGGTGGACATCACTGGATGGCACCATTGAACTCAGCGTCACTCGGGTGGGCAACCCTGAGTGCTACAGGGATCAACAGTCTGGGCGTGTGGTCCTGGACACCTGTACAGGGTGGGGCGGAGTCCAGGGAGAACTGTGGAGATGAGAGAGAAGCCTGAGAGCCTGCTCAGCACCAAGGCTCCTGCAGGCCCCGCCTACACGGGTCAGACCTCGGTGAGGACCCGCTTCTCTGCACACACCCCGTGTGGAGTGGGCAGGTGGCTGGGTCTCTGCTCCCGGGCAGCGTCAGGGAAGTCCGGCTTGCCAAATCCATTGTCAGTAGCCTTCAGGTCGGGTGCTGGCTGCCCACACGTGATGTGGGTGTACTGTCCCTGCTCCTCCTGCTCCGTCTCGCGGTGGTAGAAGTAGTTGAAGTTGGAGACAATGACAGGGACAGGCAGGGCGATGGTGAGGACCCCGGCGATGGCACACAGCGAGCCCACAATCTTGCCCCCCACGGTCATGGGGTACATGTCCCCGTAGCCCACAGTGGTCATGGTGACCACAGCCCACCAGAAGGCATCCGGGATGCTGGGGAAGAGCGAATCGCTGTCATCAGCCTCGGCGAAGTAGACGGCGCTGGAGAAGAGGATGACCCCGATGAAGAGGAAGAAGATGAGCAGCCCCAGCTCGCGCATGGACGCCTGCAGGGTCTTGCCCAGGATCTGCAGCCCCTTGGAGTGGCGGGAGAGCTTGAAGATGCGGAACACCCGGACCAGGCGGATGACCCTGAGGATGGCCAGGGACATGGCCTGCTGCCCGTTCTGGCCTCCCCCTCCACTCACTGACTGCTGCTCCTGCTGCTGCACCAGCTCAGTGCCCAGCGTGATGAAGTAGGGGAAGATGGCCACCAAGTCGATGATGTTCATGATGTTGCGGAAGAAGGCTGGCTTGCTGGGGCAGGCGGAGAAGCGCACCAGGAGCTCAAACGTGAACCACACAATGCAGAGCGTCTCCACCAGGAAGAATGGGTCGGTGAAGAAGGAGCCCCCGAGGGCACTGAGTGCTGGGGAGCTGCCTGTCCCCGCCCCCCC